GAATATAGGCTCTGAAGCTCTCAGGCTCAATACCCACACTACATTCTTCTCAACATTAATGGGAAGAGGTTAGTCACTATTTAAGCAAGAACCACTCAGGAAAAAAAAAAAAAAAAAAGCTTTCTAAGATGGTGTGTTGAAGTGACAGGAGTTCTAAGGAAATGACCCAACTTCTTCTTGACTTAGTCAGGGTTGGGTGTCTAGGAAAGCACATAAAACTTGAAGTAGGGAGACAAAGTTCATTTACACATACCAGCTGATACCTCATTAAGTCTTTGCTAGTCAAAGTGACACCATTTACCTTCTTTCTGAAGCTGTGCTTATTCTGGTCAAACTTTACTGACACTAGTAGCTTAGATTTGAAAGGGCAAGGTTTTGAACAACCCACATTTGCCCTGTGTTTGACTCATAACGCCCAACAACAAAATGCTCTATTTTAACAGTACACAGAATGTGTTGTGTAGTTTGGACCTTGCTGTAAACTCAATGGTTCTACCTGCTCATTTTCTTTTTACTTGTGATGCTGATAGCCTGTTCTAGCACAGTGTACAGAAAACACAAACAAACCCCATTTGCAGGAGAGCAATTTCTGCTGGTTGTCATAACAGTGAATAAGTGACAGGCACCAAGTCCCCATCTGCAATCAGAATGTGGGCCCTCATCACCTGGATTCCTAAATGTAGGAATTATAGTGTGTATGCATTTTCTTGATTTTATTTTTATGAAATTAAGTTTCCTTAGCATCAGACTTAAGGAACACTTGATTTTTCTTTTTGATGAGGAATTTGGCAGAACATAGGCAATTGGCTGGGAGCCGTGTAAATTCAGGAAACCTGATTAACTAGTTAGATTAAAATTCATCTAAGAATTTAGGCTTAACCCCTGGTGAATAAAATATCCTTCTAAAAGCATTAGCAGTTTGTCTTTAAGTGGGACATTGGATTACCTCAGTCTGTGCTTCCTTGCCACACAGCATCCTTTCAAGATAGAAATTCAACTTATGGCATTGAAGATGGATACAATATGCATAAGCTTGTCTTGATTTATTAGGGATGAGGAATTCACTCTTCTGGTAAATAAACTATTCCAAATAATTAAGCTTTCTTTATATAATGTATGTTTTCACTTTTCAATAAAAATGGAAATAAAAACATATTTAAACTTATATTTAACATTTATGGTAAGGTTACTGATAAACTCCATGCCTGCATCTGTCATCTATTAAATAAGAATATTAAATCAAATGAGTTTTAATATCAGCTCTTTATGATATAAAACAGATTATTAATCTGAGGTAAACTAAAACATAGATGACCCATAAATGAGCACCAATAAGTCCATAACACTGAAATTGTATCCAAATTTGCATGTATGTACTTATGTGCCTTTTTCCAGTACTTGAACCCTAATAAGGTTAAGAACATCTAACATTCATTCTGCAATGAATTTCATCCTTAAATGACTCACTTTTTCTTTGAAAAGTCATAAGGCTCCTCAGGATGGTCTGGTACTTATGGGTGTCCTTACACGAACAGTAGTACTGGCTCAAGTTTATTTGGGCTGTGGCTTTCAACCTACAGGCTACTGTTGCCAAGAGCAAAGCTTGTCCTTTCAAGCTGTGGATAAGGAAATGGGGTTGGGGACAGAATGGCTCAGGATGTGTCACTGAGGCCATCAGTGAGAGCCCTGGGAGTCCATCATGGTGTTTTTACTTCCTGATCTGGTATTCTTTCTATTATAGTTTGTTATGTAGTACTAGAGGCCTGGTGCACAGATTTGTGCAGCGGTGGGGTCCCTTGGCCTGGCCTACGGGGATCAGACCAAAACTGGCAGTCCGACATTCCCTGAGGGGTCCCGGAGTGCGAGAGAGCACTCTGTAACTTTGCTCAGCGGATCCTGCATTGAGCGTCTGCCACATTGTGGTCAGTGTGTGTCATAGCTACTGGCCGGTCAGCTGGTCACTTAGGCTTTTATATATATATAGATGCCTTAGAAGCTAGATTTTAATGCACACAGCTAGAATTTTGGAGGCAACTTTGTTATTTAAGGTCTTTATACTCTTAGACCCCCCCAAAACACTGATCCAAAATTAATCAGACTCGTCTTGGCTGGGTGTGGCTCGGTGGTTGAGCTTCAACTCAGGAACCAAGAGATCACTGGTTTGATTCCTGGTCATGTCAGGGCACATTCCCCAGGTTGTGGGCTTGATCCCTAGTGGAGAGCATGAAGGAGGCAACCGATCAGTGATGTTTCTCTCTCATTGATGTTTTCATCTCTCTATCCCTCTCATTCCTCTCTCTCTCTCTAAAAATCAATAAAAACATATTTTTAAAAAACAAAATTAATCAGACTAGTGGCAAGTATGAAAATCAATTTAAAAATGGAAAATACTGCCCCGGCCAGTGTGGCTCAGTTGGTTGAACATCATCCCATGCACTGCGAGGTCACCTGTTGGACTTCCAGTTTAGGGCAAACACCCCAGTTTCCAGCTTGATCCCCTGTAGAGGGCATGCAGGAGGAAGCAGATCAATGTTTCTCTCAATCTCTTTCTCTCCTTCCCCCCACCCCTTTCTCTCTCTCTAAAAATCGATTAAAACATACTTTTATAAAAGAATAAAATTGGAAAATACAACCCTGAACATACATTTTTTTCAAGGCCCTTGCTCCTTAAATTCTAATAAAAACATTTGAATAGCACCTTGTGGTTCCCACGGAGGTTTCAGGTACAAAACAACCCTCAATCCTCACAAGCTGTTGACAGTCCGCTAGTACTCCCATCATGTAGATAAAGAAAGTCAAGACTCCTAGGAGTGAGGGCACATGTCCAAAACCACAAAGAAAGGGCAGAGCCAGAACTCAATGCCAGTCCCAACTTTGCACCTGTTCACTTGACCACAGCTGTCTCTACAGTGTTCTTAGGGCATTGGGGGTAGAGAAAGGGTGCCCAGGCTGGGAAATATGTTGTCAGGTGAGACCATTTTCATAGACTAAAGTGTTGGAGAGGGAGCTGTGAGCAAAATAAATTCTATAGTAAGATAACAGTGCATTTCCTGGAGTCTAGATTTGAAGGACAGATGTATTTCTAACCAGCTCTGAGACTGGAAATCCTCCAGATTTCTGGAGGAGAACTACTGAGACTGAAATCCTCCCTGGTTCTAAATGTGGCCCATAACTTCTTACAAAAACAAAAACTGTGGATTTGCATAGCCTACTTCAAAGCAGGGGGACTATGAGAGAGATTTAGGAAAAGAAAGGCTATTGTTGCTCTCTATGGCTTTGTGCAAATTCCATAGGATCCAAAACCCAATCATTATCCTATTATCTTTTGCCAATGATAAAGCTTTTTCCTAAGCAGTTCTATGACATTAAGTAGCTGGCAGAGATGTTTATATGATCAGTCTGTGCTGAAAGCACATTATAATTCACTGGAAGATGCATGATTTATGTATTCTGATTTTCATCTCTAAGAGATTTACAATGGGGCATAGATATATAAAATAATAAAGAGTGTTTTGCTAGTACAAGGGAAAAAAAAAAACACTCAAATGCAGCTAGTCTGATTCTATCACTGCAGTGGTAGAGGAGCAGCTCAGACAAGTTCTCCTTCCACAGCTGCAAACAACAAGTTAAGACCCAAAGCATGGAGGTATGGAACAGACTGACATACCTTGATGTGGGGGTGGGGGGACTAGAAGAGATAAACCGAAGAACTTCTGTGCATTGCCCATGGACATGGGCAATAGGGTAGTGAAGACCTGGGGGAGGGAGGAGGGTCTGGGAGGAGATGGGTAAAGGGAGAGAAGATGGGAGATATCTGCAATACTATCAACAATAAAAATTATATATTTTTTAAAAAGTACTTGGGTTTGGGGCCCATGACCCTACTTTTGAATTCCAACTCTACCATTTAGCAGATAAGAGAAAGGATGACTAACATTAAATCTAATAAGGTGCCAGCATGTGTTAGGCACCTTACAGACATTTTCTTGTCTGGCTCTACAGGAACCCTGGAAGATTGATATTACTGGTCTCTATTTCCAAATGAGGAAATAGAGGCTTAAGGATATCTAATAGTTTGTCCAAACCCACAGAGCTAATGGCACTCAAATTTGAACCCAGATCTCTCTACCATTAAACCCATGCTCTTTTTATTATCCAGGGCTTCTTTTCTGGGCTTCACTGTCTCTGTCTGTAAAATGTGATCATTCAGCACACCTTTTACCAGTAGGATTGTTGGAATACAAAAGATTAATCTACCCAGAACAGTCCTGATACACACAGGAGCTCTTCCATAAATTGTGTTTCCCTTCCTATACTTTGCTCTGGTAAAGTTCTGATTTTGTTTCTTTGTTGGTTGGTTTGTTGGGTTGATTGCTTCAGGTTTTGTTTTGTTTTGTTTTGTTTTGTTTTGTTTTGTTTTGTTTTGTTTTGTTTTGTTTAGATTCGGACCTAGCTCAACTCTTTTTAAAATTCCGAAGCAAAAAGTTGCCTCTAAACAGAGATGCCTCTATGACTTTAGAGAACAGGGAAGGGAGATACCTTTTTGTTCTTCTATTTGTGTCTGGGGTGAAGAACTGTAGGGCAGGGAGTGGGGTGTTGTTGTTCTGCTCCCGGGGAGAATGTATGGAGTGTGTAAGTGTCTCTTTAGTGTGCATAACTTTAACGTCCCTCATAAAGCAGGGGAGTCCCCTTGCTGTGGGAGGAGTTGAGGCAGTACCACGACCAAGCTGTACCGTGATAGATCTACAGTATTTCCAAGTGGCCTCTGTCAAGATAGGCAGGTAGCCCAGAGCACTGCCCAGGCCTGGGGCACTGGAAAGGTGAACAGAACTTCACCAGAATTAAGAAAAACTGGCAGTATTTCCTTGCCTGTAAATGACAGCCTGTTTGCAGAGCAGCTGGGGAAGAACTACTAGTCTCAGAAATCATTAATTAATTTAATTAATTAAGTAAGTTAGTATGTATGTATGTATCTAACTTTGCTTCCTACCTGAAGGCCCTGGAGCCCTCTGCTTACAGATAATGAACTATCCAATGATAATGAACCATCTACATGGCACGTTCCAGGGAAAATGGAAAGCATCCAGATAAGCTAGAGTGGTTGAAGAAAGGTAGTGACTCTTAATCTCAGAAAGATATTTTGATATTTTCATTGAATAGACATTGACTCAGCACCTTCTTTGAACTAGGGGTATAAAATAGTGATTGAGTCATACACCTCATCTTGAATGCACTCAGGGTCTGGGGGGAGAGCAGACTTGCAAACAGATTCTATAACGCAGCTTGGTGGGCTCGGTGTGGGAGGTCTGCGTGAAGTGGAGTGGAAACCCAATCAGGGTAACTATTTTGCCTGATGGAGGAGCAGTATCTGAGTTAGTTTTTTAAAAGATAAATAGAAAGTTGCCAAACAAAGAGAAGGTAGAGAGGGAGGGCATCCTAAGATAGTGCATGTGCCAAGGCCTGGTGTCCACAACAAGGGATTGTGAGAAATCCATGAGGCACAGCCATAAGACAATGAGACCGAGAACCAGCTTGGGGCAAGGGTGAAATATCTGGGCTCTGCATTATGCTAGTCAATGGGCTCAAGTCCTGGCTCTGCTACTTCTAGAACGTGACTAAATGACTCAATCACTATTGCTGAGGTTTGTTGTGAGCATTAAATCACAATAGCTCTTAGCCCAATTCTAGCACTAGTAGTCCACAGTAAATGTCAACTCTTAGTAGTATTTGTGGTGGCAATAATCAGTCTTACAATGAAGTCAATAACTAAGAACGTGAGCAGTGTTCTTAGTTAGACTTCTCAAGGGACTTTTTTAAAGAGAAAGATCTAAAACAGAGATGTCCAATAAAACTTGCTGCGATGATGGAGACATTCTATGTTTGCACCATCTAGTTCAGCAGCCATAGCTGAATATGGCTATGGAATACTTGAAATGAGAGTAGTTTAACTGAGAAACTATTTTAATTTTATTTAATTTAAATGGCTACCTGTACCTGCTGGCTACTATATTAGACCATGGAGGTCTAGAGTCATGGAATGATAAAATGGAATTATGAGAGAACTTTGAGGTAGATTTAAAGTGTTCGCATTCTCCCCCACCACTGCCATTTTACAGATGTGGAAATGGAGGCTCAGAGAGGGAAATTGACCTGCTCAGGGCCACACAATTATTTAATGAGAGACCTAGCACTAGAACCCAGCAGGTCTTCTGACTGGGTTCTTATTGTCCTGAAGTCTGACTAGGAACTTTCACTTTAGAAAGTCCCCATTACCCAAACATCGTAGGTCCTTTTGGCCACCTCCCCTTTCCCCACCATGCACATTTCTGCTCCTTTTATTTCTAATACATAGGCTGCATCCAGTAGGTTCCCAAGAATCCAAAACTCACTGACATGTACTTTAGTTCCTAGTTTTGACAAATGCTAATGGGAACATTATGTATTGGCAGCAGCTCATTTAGTACAGCCATTATTTTCATAACTAGTACTTTTTGTCCTTGTCATATTATTATTTTTGTTACTTTGCCTGGGTGCTAAACCAAAGTGTCAACAAAAAATACGAACTTTCTTACACTATTTACAAAACATGAACCCAGATTCTGTATTGGAATTTTGAGGAGATTAAATCACTTGACAGAATCATTAGTTAAGGAGGGATGATCAGGTGCAGACACAAGTCTTTGCAACAACCAATGTAGTTAGTTATCCTTGAACTCAGAGGCAGATAGGCTGAAGGGACTACTGTGGTATCCATTCTACAAATGTAGCCCTTTCCCACTTTATCTGTGGCAAACCCTGGTGAGGAATGGCATATGGTGTCAGGGAGCTGAGCTGTGGGTTTGTTGCCTCATTCTTGCCCTTGCAAACAGATACTGTACCACAAGGGATGTGGCTATGGGTGTGGATACTATAACCTGAGGCGTGGCTGTGGGTGTGGAAGCACAGGGTGAACAGCTAGGAAGGTGGGAACAGGTCAGTTAGCATATATTCACACTGTGCTCTTCCATGAAGTGCAGAGGTACTAACTCTTGTCCTCCCGAGCCGTCTCACCACAGCCTACATGAAGGACAGCACTCACAACCTTGGACATGGTCTTAACCTGGCTCTACATGAATGCTGAGGTCAAACAGGTCTCTGTGCTGCACACACACCATCCTCTACAGCTCCTAGAACATTCCAGTAGGCCCTCTTTTCAGCCTGAGCTGTGCTTTTCATAGTCAGTGTAGCTAACTCTTACTCATCCTTCAGATCTTCTATAAATGTTAGTCCTTCTGATAGAATTCCCTAATCCTTACTCTCAAAGAGTTAATCAGCTCCTATTAACATCTTGAAAAAAAAGTAGAGAAAAAAACACCCTGCAAATTATACACACACACACACACACACACACACACACACACAGTAGGTCTCATTTCATCCTTACTTGATGTTTTCATTATGATTCTTGGCATAATGCTTAAAATGATACCTTATTTTTATGATTATGTGTTTACTATCTATCTCCTTAGATCAGCAATTTTCAACTTGGTGTTTTATAGGATTTTTAAAACATGCAATACCTGACTATTTAGTCCTGGACCCTGACCATTAGATTGTCAAATAAAAAATAACAATAGCCAATACAACAATGCCAACCAGTATCAAAGAATCAAAATTATACCTATGTTTTGTTAGATTGGCAAAAAATATATGTTTTTGTTGTGCTTCAGGATTTAGTAATTAGTTTATGTGTGCCATGAGATGAAAAAGGTTGAAAATCACTGCCTTAGTTTATAGATTCTATGAGGGTAGGGATTATGTCTGTTTTATTTATTCTAGAATCCAGTCCAGTTCCAGACACTTAGTAGGAGCTTAGATAATATTTCTTGAATTCAAACATAAATGAAGAACTCTATCATAGCTTATTTAGCAACAATATACAAAGAATAATTTTTGTTGAGTGAGTGAATGAATGAGAACTCTAGGTTAATTTCTGCTTCCCTGGGAAGTTTAGAGATAGTGTTACCTACTAACCATTTAGGACACAGAGAAGGAGGAGTGAGTGTCAAGCAACTAAAGCAGTGTGATAAGTGAATTTGTGTGTGCCTTGTAAACATGGCTTTGAAGAAAGCTGATATTGAACCTTTAGGCAAAATAAACTTCTACTCACCTATCCTGCCACCCAGTGACTGGGACCAAGACAATTTGCCTTAATTCTACAGTTTGACTTGCATGGGTGGACCTTGTGTTGAAGCCATTTCTCACCTGATAGATTGTGAGTAGAAAATATTTTAATAAACCTTCTTTAATGTAAAAAAATAATATTTGTGACAGAAAAACGTGTTTCTTATTTATTATCCTTAGGGACTTTTGTGCAGGTGGGTCTTCAAAAGGGCCTTTGCTGAACCAGATGGTCGGTGCAGACATGCATCAAAGAGTTGGGAGTATAGGGTATAGACGGATTGCAGTTGGTGGGCTCAGAGGCTTCTTGGGCAAGTGGAAGCCTCATGGGCTGACCTTCCTATGGAAGAAGGTGGAACACTGATACGGGTGGGGATTTTCATTAACTTGTGCTGTTATATGCCATGTAACTCTCCTCCTTACCCTCTACCACTTTCCATCATGAAATCTTCAGTAAAACCTCTTACTAATACTTTGGAATGTGAGCTTCCCTTTGGATAGCTATAGAGTGTAAAGGGTCTTGCTCTAAGGTTAACAAGCAAAAGCTGCCCTATTTGCAACACTCAGAACAATAAAAGTAATCCCCAAAATAGGATCATGTGATAAAAAGGACACCTCACTTTTGTGGCATTTGTTCCAAAACTCCATAACCCCAGTCTCATGAGAAAACACAAACAGACTTAGATTGGGGGACATTCTCCTGGACAGCTGGCCCGTATTCCTCAAGACCAGGAGGATGATGACAGCAAAGATGGAGGAGACCAGGGAGACATGAAGACGGAATGCAAGGTGGTAACTGAACTGGACCCTGGGACAGACAGAGGCCATTAATGGAAAAACTGATGAAATCCAAGGAAAGTCTAATTAGTAATGAGTATAATTAAGTTTAAAGGTTTAATTAATAGTAGTGTAACAATGCTGATGTCTTAGTTTTAACAAAAGACATTAACAGAGGGAAGGGGCCTGAATGAGGGGTCCATGGCAACTCTCTGCAAATTTTCTGTAAATCTGAAACTATTCCAAAATGAACAGTTTATTTACAGGTAAAGCCTCATTACTAAGATAGCCAATGTTTTCTGTAAATCTAAAATTATTCCAAAATAAACAGTTTATTTAAAGATGAAACCTCAAAACTAAAATAGTCAGTGTTGACTTTTTGCTAAACTAGTGGGCGAGGCAAGTAAAATAATGACTAAAGTTTTTCTTTGAAACAGTTTATTTAAACCATGAGATTGCAGGAAGGAAAACTGGAGCTCCCTGCTGAGCAGACAGTGGCATCTTGTCACCACGGCCTTGACCTTTGGCTCCTCTTGCAGCACAGTCATGACTGTGAAAGAAAAGACTATTCTGACACTTGTTACAATGGTAAGGAAGATCTAGTCAAGATCTAGACCAGGGGTGGGCAAACTTTTTGACTCGAGGGCCACAATGGGTTCTTAAACTGGACCGGAGGGCCGGATCAAAAGCATGGATGGAGTGTTTGTGTGAACTAATATAAATTCAAAGTAAACATCATTACATAAAAGGGTACGGTCTTTTTCTTTTTAGTTTTATTCATTTCAAACGGGTCGGATCCGGCCCGCGGGCCGTAGTTTGCCCACGGCTGATCTAGACTCTTGCAATAGGTGTCAAGACCATCACAATAAAGGAGAGAAACTGGGCTCAACTCTGAACCCAGCAAGGACGTGTGGGGATTTATAGCCAAGGAGCAGAATGAGGGGGTCAATGGATGGAAAATTATGAAGAGGAGACATCAAAGATCAGGGGATTCTTGCTAAACCGACTTAATGGGAATCTTGCTGAAAGGAAGCCAAGGACGTACAACAGGAAAGGTGGGGGATGAGGAACTTGGTCAGGTATTAAAGGTGATCAGATATGATGGGTGGGGGGATTCTCAGTAAACTGACTTGGCAGAATGCTTGCTAACACTGGGCTGGGCAGGCCAAAGACAGTATGGAGACAGGAAAGGGGACCTCAAGTTCAAAGCCTAGTCTAGAGGCGGGCTCACAGGAGCCTAACTAAAGTTTGGTTAAGGGGAGTCTTTATCATCACCAGTCATGCTAATACCATCTGATTTCCATTGGAGTGGCGCCTCTGCTACCAGCCATGCTTAACTCGTAGACAGATGATTTGGTTGCATCGTAATCTTGGCATGCTGTAGCCGGACAGCAGATTGCACCTGTGATTTCACATCCAGCATCTGGATCTTGGCCACTGACATTGCCAGGTTAATCTTATATGAGCCAATTTCTTCCTAAATTGATTGGCTGGTGGGTCTGGATTCAGCGAGCTCTGAGGATTTGGCATGTTCTTTTGCAGATGGTTTGGTACCTGCAACCCACCAGGAAGTTCTTTCCCACAGCAGGAGTCCGTTTTTCCAGTCCAAAGAACCTTAGGGAGATGTAAGAACTTTACAGAGTGTAAACACAAGCCCCATACATCTGCTAGGTTAGGTCAGTGGTCGGCAAACTGCAGCTCGCGAGCCACATGTAGCTCTTTGGCCCCTTGAGCATGGCTCTTCCACAAAATACCACGTGCGGGCGCGCATGCATAGTGCGATTGAAACTTCGTGGCCCATGCGCAGAAGTCGGTATTTTGTGGAAGAGCCACACTCAAGGGGCCAAAGAGCCTCATGTGGCTCACGAGCCACAGTTTGCCGACCACTGGGTTAGGTGAAGAAGAGCTACATGAGGGCTGTATTTCCCTGTCCATCACATTTGTTCACATTAATATATCCAGGTGTCCAGGGCTTTGCAAAAATTGATAAGCTCCGTCTCTCCTTTGCATTCCTCTTGGTGTAGAATGTCATGGTTGTTCGTCATTTGCATAGGTCTCCATACTAGTAGTGTCTCTCCATGTAAAGCCAAGTGATAAAATGAGGACAGCCACAGGCAATTCCAAGCAGAACCAGTTTGGGTTTTTGGCCTGTATGCTGACCTAAAATTATCTTCACAATAGCCCTATTTCTCCAGCTGGCTTTGGCCGTGGGGCACCTTAGAGTTCCGTCTGCAACAAGACAGACTATATCACGGGGAGCATTGGAGGGGACAGCTTGTGGGGGACGGATGACAGAGGTTGACATTGGCACATGCATGGGCTGAATTGGTGAAAACTTAAATTCAAAGTTGTACCTTTTTTTTTGTTGGTTTCTGTTCCAAAAACAATTTCACGAGCTAACACATTTTGACTCTCTCAACTCCTTAAATAAATTCTGGAAGGACATGGAAGAAGGTCATAAAATCCAACCAAATTCATGTCTACCTGTAAGGTCCTCCTGTTCTGCTGTTATTTAACTTGTGGTTTTTTCCTACAGGGTTTATTAATATATGGAGAAGGTGAAAGAGTTGCTAGAATATGGGGCAAAATGTAGCCATTATTAAGCAACATGCTGACAGATTGTCAGCTAATACCCCAACACTTTGGTGGTCACTTGAGCATCCCACCAGCCCAGTAGATAAAGCAGCGGACACAGGATTCTGATGTCTTGGAGGACTGACAAAGATATAGAAGAGTTTCATTATTTTTGAAGTCTTTTCAGGGTTGTTTCCCCCCTTCCTATCATTTTCCTTCTTGCAAAACTCTTTAATTTTAACGCCATCTCTTAGCCAGCTTTCAAAATAAAATTAATGTGTATCTATGACTTCATTTCCTTTCAGCTGTTTATAATATTTAAGGACAAGCCAACCATAATTTATTTATAGAATTTGATCCCATTTCTGTTTCTCTATTTTGTCTCCTAGAAAGCACAGGAAAATAGCTCTAAATATATCAGAAAAATTAGACATTGAACTTTACTTTCTCTCAAATGCTACAAATAAAATTAGAGCATTTGTCTCAAGAAAAATTAAGGGAAAGAATACTGCATCATTTGGAAATCAGATTACTAAAACATCAGGTCTACATAATTAAGTTTGTACAGGTCAGGAAATAAGAAAGTTGATTTATTCTGGTTTTATGCCTGACCCTGTATGTGAGCACTGTATTCTGCAATAAGGCTTTTATTCTTCCTGAATTCCATGCCATCTCAACCTCAAGTGAGATTTGAAATTTGTACATGCCCTACCCTAATTATTTGTCAGTGTGCATAGAAGAAGGAAAAGAAGGGAAAATAATACTGGCACTTAAATTAACTGAAACAGTAATTATTTGTGAAAGCAGCAACCATCCCCTTAATGGGGTTTTGCTCATTTTTCCTCCTTTTTTTTTTCCAGAACAAAAGAAGGAATTTTTCCTTTTGATCATTTATATCTATCTCCCCATTACTCAAAGGTAGCAAAATACATGACGTAGTTTCATTGGACAGAATTAAAAGCTTAAGTTTGGGAAGGTGTCAGACTTGTATCCTAGAAACGCAGACCAATCAGTAAGATCTTTGGTTTCTGTTCATTCTAAGAGTAGTGGTGTTTTCCGATATTTAAGAAATACTGTGATGCATTGAGAATGTTTCCAATTACATGGCTAATGGTGTCATTCCAATGTCACTGCCCTCTGCCAGAGCATAGAAGCCTGGAACTCTGGGGGTAGAGCTTAGATGTTGCTTAATTTTATAACATCACCACATGATTCTAATATACAACCCAGAAGTGAAAAACACAGTTGTAACAATATTTCTTTGTAGCGGAAGAAAAAAAAGAAATGCAGCGAAAGACAATTGTAGATGATGAGCTGGCTTGCGGACGTGGTTCATGTTCAAAAATAGAGTAACCTTCCAGACAGAGAACCAGACTAGACTGAGTCCAGGCACGCAGGGAACCGTGTTTGGGCTGCCAGCCTCTCGGTGCCGGTAGATATCAGCAAGATAGCCACGGTGCGTGTGCACAGGGCTTTCCTGCCCGCGAGGGAGAGGCTGAGGAAGAGCAGCTGACATCCTCCTGCTGTCTGTCTCACTTTCAGGAGTGCCCGGAGGGACCCCAGCTCATGGGCCCCTCGTGGTGCTGTTGGGTGCTCCAGGGCCCCTTCCTGGCTGTGTGAGTCACTTCAAGTGTGTTTGCAATCATTTGGAAGGAAAGCACAAACCTAAGCTCCAACTTAATATACAAGAAGAGACTTCAACGCAGAGAGCATAGCACAACACCCAGAATGTCACATCGTCCAGGTTGCGGACATACAAGCACCAATCTGCATTGCCACCCCGATTTTACCCAGGCTAGCACGTGTGTCTCGCCTTCCAGACTCCCATGGTCCTCCACAGCCAGAGGAAGACAGAGAGGGCAGATGGCCCCACACTTCATTCCAAGAGCGAAGTGCCTGTCTTCCTTGTGAAAACAGCCAGTGTCTCAAGAGAAGTGACGCCCTCTCTCAAGCAACTGGTCTGAAGGCACAGCTCTGGGAGTGTTTCCTTTCTTCATGAAGCTGGGAACACACACACACACACACACACACACACACACACACACACACACACCACACACACACACACACACACTCAGAACACCAGACGGTGGCATGATGGAACCAGATACCTCATGAGAAGGCGATGCCTTTGTTCCTCTCACAGCCTGGATGCTCCTTCCCTGTCGGGTGCTCCTCAGCACCTTGCTATCAGGCCATGGGCAACAAGAGGGTGGCGAGGGAGCATCAGGTTTTGTTTCCACAGTTTTTGAGAACATAATGAATCACACTGTCATCTTAAGATCTGTGGGCTGAGCGCCAAGGCTGCTAACAAGGGTCAAATGAATATGGATGCGACCTTATTCTATTGTCCAAGTCAGCATCCTCCTCAGAAAACAGGACATTTCACAGCCAGAGGATCAGTGTCCTCGAACCTGTGATCCAGGGGCGAGTGCTCTGAGTTAAAGCATGATTGTCCCCACACACGAAATTAGAGGCCATGACTCCCTAAGCTACACTTAGAAGTGACAGTATGTGGACAAGAGGTGCATAGCATCTAGGGTTCCTGGGGCACCAGCCAGATGAGACATTCCAGATCATTCTCTGCCAAGCCTAATTAGTGCCCTGATGCCAGCCTGGCCAGAGGGGGCTGTCCTCTTGTGTGGCCTTGTCCATCCTCTCAAGGCTGAGGGGTTCCTGGGCCACCTGGAGCTGGAGAGTTCACATGACAGCCACCAGAGCATTGGGTGACAGGCCTCGCATTTGGTGGCACAGGAGTTATAGAGAAATCTTAGAATGCTAGCTTTGGGGTGGAGACAAGGGCTAGGAAATAAAATTGTCCTTTCCCCTCTCTCACTTTCCAGTAAGTCTAGATCAGGGGTGGGAAACATTTTTTTTTTTTTTTGCCAAGGGCCATTTGGATATTTATAATATCCTTCACAGGCCATACAAAATTATCAGTTTAAAAATTAGCCTGCTGTATTTGGTCAAACATTTAATCAGCTCACCCCTAATGCCTTGGCAGGGCCAGCCCAAATGATTTCACGGGCCTCGTACAGCCCACTGGCCGTCTAGATCGAGTAAAACATCACATCTCCCTGCCATTAGTAGGCCTTTTGTTGCCAGGCATGTGGATTTCCTA